CAAAATTCATTTTTATTTCTAGTCTGACGCGACACTTGAGCGCGTTTCGTAAAACTTATTACATTTTCAAAGACTTTAGTTAACACATACACAACTGAATAGAACTTACACATCTCCGATTTTGTTTATATCTACATTTGAGTGAGGTGGATGGGGTGAGGTGGTATTTAATAAGGTATTAATTTCATCAACACAAGCCAGAACATGAAACAATGGGTATTGAATAGAAGTGATTGTAGAAAGCCTATTGGTCCATATTTCTTGATGCTTCTATATTGGAGCGGAGTCTTGAGGTGGGTAGAATATAGTTGTGCATTAATTGGCTGTTGATTGCTGGTGTTGACTTCTTGATGTGTAATGCCTCGCAAACGTCAAGCCGCCTGCTATCGCTGTATCTATCGATGATTTCTGTGTTGTTTACTAGGATTTCTCTGGCGATGGTTTGGTTGTGGGAAGAGATTATATGTTCCTTAATGGAGCCCTGTTGCTTATGCATCGTTAAACGCCTAGAAAGAGATGTTGTTGTCTTGCCTATATACTGGGTTTTTTGGAGCTTACAGTCCCCAAGAGGGCATTTGAAGGCATAGACGACGTTAGTCTCTTTTAAAGCGTTCTGTTTTGTGTCTGGAGAGTTTCTCATGAGTAGGCTGGCCGTTTTTCTGGTTTTATAGTAAATCGTCAGTTGTATCCTCTGATTTTTGTCTGTAGGGATAACGTTTCTATTAACAATATCTTTCAGGACCCTTTCCTCCGTTTTATGAGCTGTGGAAAAGAAGTTCCTGTAAAATAGTCTAATAGGGGGTATAGGTGTTGTGTTGGTTGTCTCTTCAGAGGTTGCATGGCGTTTCACTTTCCTTCTTATGATGTCTTCGACGAAACCATTGGAGAAGCCGTTGTTGACTAGGACCTGCCTTACCCTACAGAGTTCTTCGTCGACTTGCTTCCATTCTGAGCTGTGGCTGAGAGCACGGTCGACATATGCGTTAACAACACTCCTCTTGTACCTATCTGGGCAGTCGCTTTTGGCATTTAGGCACATTCCTATGTTCGTTTCCTTAGTGTAGACTGCAGTGTGGAAACCTCCGCTCTTTTCCATGACTGTTACATCTAGAAAGGGCAGCTTCCCATCCTTTTCCATCTCGTAAGTGAAACGCAGCACGGAACTCCGCTCAAATGCCTCCTTCAACTCCTGCAGATGTCTGACATCAGGTACCTGTGTAAAAATGTCGTCAACATACCTGCAGTATATGGCCGGTTTCATGTTCATGTCGACTAAGACTTTTTGCTCGATGGTACCCATGTAGAAGTTTGCAAACAGGACACCTAGGGGAGAACCCATGGCGACCCCATCTACTTGCTTATACATGTGCCCATCCGGGCTCAAGAAGGGTGCCTCTTTAGTACAAGCTTGGAGTAGTTTCCTTAGGATATTTTCTGGTATGTCAAGAGGAGTACAGGCTGGATCACGATACACTCTGTCGGCTATCATCCCGATTGTCTCGTCCACTGGTACGTTAGTGAACAGCGATTCTACGTCCAACGAGGCTCTTATCCCTGTGGCCCGTGTGCCCCACAGTAAGTCAACAAATTCCTTTGGAGACTTCAGGCTGAAGGCGCAAGGAACATAAGGAGTCAGCAGGCCGTTGAGTCGCTTCGCCAGTCTGTACGTGGGTGTGGGTATCTGGCTAATGATTGGCCGAAGTGGGTTTCCAGGCTTGTGTGTCTTGACATTTCCATACGCATATCCAGGTTTATATTCCCCAATGATCTTTGGCAGGTGGAGTCCGGATTTCTTGGCGTTCACAGTTTCGATCAGTTTGTTGACCTTTGCTTTCAATTCGGCTGTAGTGTCCTTCGTTACCCTTTGGAACTTAGTTTGGTCAGAGAGTATGAGGTTCATTTTCGCCAGATATTCGTCTTTTTTAAGAATGACATATATTGGCGACTTGTCACCTCTCCTGACAACTATCTCCTTGTTCTCACGAAGGCTTTTAGCTGCCGCTTTGAGCTCGGGGGACAGTATGGTGCTTCTGTAATTGCCTCGATTCTTTCCTCCTTCTGCAATAAGTTCTGCTTGTAAGGTATCTTTGGTAGTGACCTTCTTTTGTGTCTCGAGGTCGAATATGTCGTCCAACAGAATTTCCAACTCTACTTTCCGGGCCATCTCACTCGGTCTGGACATAACGTGACAGTTTATGCCCAGATTTAGGAGAGTGACTTGGTCCTCAGTGAGGTTAATTCCTGCAAGGTTCAGGAAGCCATCTCTTGGTCGTGGAATTGCCATAGGTCCTCCATATAATGTTGTTAGTTTCTTGATAATCCTTGTTTCAGTGCTGAGGTGATGTCGGTCTGTGAGGATGTCGAGGTGTTGTTCAATGCGGGTACGGATACTTTCGTCAATGTTGCTATTTCTCCACTCGTTTGTAGCATGAAGTAGTTGCGTTTTGTTGTCTTTGATTTCATTCTCTGCCTTGTATATCTGATCACGAATCAGATCCTGGCGATATTTTATCGTGAAGGCTTGATTCCTTGCTGCTGGGTCGTGCGCTTTAATATTAGTATATTTTGGTAGCAGTCTTTCCTGTAGACATATATTATTAAATATGACCGAAAAAGTAAGATTAATAATTCTAACACGAATTTTCTCAATCTTTCGTACATTTCTTTTCACTGTTGGAGGTAATTCAAAAATCAATTCTCCAAAATTCATTTTTATTTCTAGTCTGACGCGACACTTGAGCGCGTTTCGTAAAACTTATTACATTTTCAAAGACTTTAGTTAACACATACACAACTGAATAGAACTTAAACATCTCCGATTTTGTTTATATCTACATTTTGAGTGAGGTGGATGGGGTGAGGTGGTATTTAATAAGGTATTAATTTCATCAACACAAGCCAGAACATGATTTCTGTGTTGTTTACTAGGATTTCTCTGTCGATGGTTTGGTTGTGGCAAGAGATTATATGTTCCTTAATGGAGCCCTGTTGCTTATGCATCGTTAAACGCCTAGAAAGAGATGTTGTTGTCTTGCCTATATACTGGGTTTTTTGGAGCTTACAGTCCCCAAGAGGGCATTTGAAGGCATAGACGACGTTAGTCTCTTTTAAAGCGTTCTGTTTTGTGTCTGGAGAGTTTCTCATGAGTAGGCTGGCCGTTTTTCTAGTTTTATAATAAATCGTATATATATATATATATATATATATATATATATATATATATATATATATATATATATATATATATATATATATATATATATATGACAGTGTCAGACCATGGAGGAAATTTGAAACAGGAATTTCCTTAAGTACTTTCGTATATTAATACATCTTCAGAAGGAGTGGTTTACAGGTCGAGTACTAGACATAAATACGCAGGAGAGAATGGTAGAGTGAGGTGAGGTACAATACGTAGACACTGCAGAGGGCCTATTGGCCCATCCGATGCAGCAACCACACACAGGCCCACACATGGATAATCATAGCATAAAATAGTAAATATTTACAATGAATTAGTGAGACAAATGTGTTCTACTGATCCTACTTAAATCGCCCTTTAAGTGATCTATTAAAAATGGATCTAAGTTATATAAACCACTGCTGATGTTCAAATTACTTTCGTTTGTGATCTGTATCAAAGCAGATTCAATTATGTTTCTGTTATAAGTGCTTTTACAATTCGTTATTGAAGAAGCCATCTCCCAATCAATTTGGTGAACATCTTCTGACAGATGAACAAACAAAGCATTAGACAATTGGCCATGTCTTACAGAGTATTTATGTTGCAAAATTCTACATTTCAAATCTTTAGATGTTTGCCCAACATAGAACTTATTACAGTCTTTACAAGGTATTTTATAAATGATACAATTATCACTACGAGGGCTGTTCCAAACTAATAGCTTACCAACAGTATATTTTCGTAGCTAAACAATACATGTATATTAAAAAGTTTCAAGGCCTTGACAATATTCTCAAACCCGAGAAATATGGTAAACATAACACATTCTTTGGACTAATTCTTTCACTGCATACATTTTTATAATATGTACGACGTGCTTAGCTACGGCAAACTTCCAAAAAACACAGTGGGTAACAAAGCTTGAGACCAATCGAATCAATATTCTTAAACTCTTCGTCTAAGAATTCTGGACTCACAACTCGAAGAGCTCTTAGATACATTGAAGAAAAAATTGACTTTTTCACATTGTATCAATGCCCTGAAAAATAATGAACATCAGATAAATTATTCGTAGGTTTTCTGTAAACACTAAACTTTAGTGAAAAGTCTTCCCTATGAATAAGTACATCTAGGAATGGCAAACATTTATCAAATTCAGTCTCCAGAGTAAATTTTATAGAGGTGACTTGATCATTAAGTTTGGCTACAAATTCGTCTGTGTTTACATCTGAAGGCCATATACACAAAATATCATCAACATATCTAAACCATGGAATGATTCCTGGGGTTATTTTTGAAACAAATTTCTTTTCGAAAAATTCCATGTACAAGTTAGAAAGCAATGGCGATAAAGGATTCCCCATTGCCATTCCAAAAGTCTGTAAATTTGCCAATAGGCCCTCTGCAGTGTCCACGTATTGTACCTCACCTCACTCTACCATTCTCTCCTGCGTATTTATGTCTAGTACTCGACCTGTAAAACCACTCCTTCTGAAGATGTATTAATATACGAAAGTACTTAAGGAAATTCCTGTTTCAATTTTCCTCCGTGGTCTGACACTGTTACATTTTTAATCACGTGTTTATTTTCGTGATACACACACACACACACACACACACGCAAGCACAATTAGGTAAGTACACACACACACACACATATATATATATATATATATATATATATATATATATATATATATATATATATATATATATATATATATATATATATATATATATATATATATATATATATATATATATATATATATATATATATATATATATATATCTTTGATGTGTCTAATGAACTTTATGTAACAGGTCAGTGTGATTTCTACACGTCGAGAGAGGGGTTTCTATCATACATTTCTGGTGTCATAAGCCAAAGGGACAACCCCATCGTAGCAGCTATGCGAAATAGGTAGGACCATATTCCGTCATATTTCAGGTATATTGAAAACTTCTTAAATATATGAAGATTTCTGAGGTTTAGTGTGTATTATTATATACGGAATTAAGAATAAGAGAGTCACTAGCTGGCCTAATACAAGGCAACTGCTTTGTATATCTAACCACTCACTTACCTATTTGTTTAATAAATGCCTGAAATATTCTAATTGAGTCAGAGGGTAAGAATAAATAGTCAAATACTAATGGGAAGCGTTGCAAATTGGAGGTCTTCGGGGTTTGGTATTGCTCACCATATATATATATATATACTAGTTATGGACATGATTTTAGAGAAGTACTTGTTATTAGCTATTGACACCAAAATTTGGACAGAACTATTTTCAAGAACCTTAAATTGATTCCAGTTGACTTAGAAAGACTTTTAAAATAGTCAAATGATTGGTAAATGTAGTTCATTAGTAATAAATATAGGGTATTAATTCTAAAAAATGATAAGTTAACATACGTTACCTGTACAATGTTGTGAACTTAAGAAACATTACGAGTATTAGGAACATTATAGACTCTTAAATATTTTTGTATGCGCAGAAACACTATATATTATTGCAGTAACCGAAACATAGATGAATGTAGAAAACAGACTCCTATTAGGTAAACATAATTTTAAGGGATTCATATTATTTCACACAAAAAGACAGATTAAACGAGGAGGAAGAATAGCTCTATATGTCAGGGAACATTTTAGATGTAGTGTCAGAGAGGGAATCAATACTGAACCCCATAAAGAAACTGTATGAATAGAATTAAATTAAAATAATGATTGCCCGATAATAAAAGTTATACATATAGGCCACTAAACATTGACGCAATGGAGGAAGGACAACTTGGATATCAAAAGACAATTTTTATTTAATAGATAACTTTAATTTTAGCAAAATAAACTGGATCACTTAAACAGGTGTTATGAATCCATATACTTGATTCTAACATTTATCATGATAAACATGTATGTTCACTATTCTTTTATCAGTTATTTGAAATAAAACATTCTATCCATTTGTTTTCTAATATATATGTTTGATTTAATTGTAGCATGTTGTAGTGTGCTTGTATGAGATATTATGTTGATGCTATTGCATGTTCATTCCTGTGGGGGAGACCGTGGCATCTCATGGGGGGATGACCATATTTGGGATGATCCAGTATGCGTGCAGTGTATCAAGCTAGCGTCACCGATTCACCCCTGTAATTATTACTGTTTTTTGTGTGTACATATTTCTTTAATTACACCTTAGCAGTGTTATATGCATTTTAGTATAGTTTATGCATATTAGTATAGTTATAAATATGTTCTTAAGTATTACTCTCAGATAGCAGAGTATCTAGAGGTTTCATGTGGTTTTTGGTTGGTAACCTATTGACACCCTGCCGTGCATGCTCCAGCAGCTAGTCGTGTGGGTAAGGCTGGCTGGGGTGGATATGTTAGGAGATAAGTCTTTGGTACCTGTTTATTGTGTAGTAACATAGCTAATTGCCTGGTTAGATCATTATTTGCATACCCATCTATTCATGTAAGTTTTAAAATAGTGATCAGTGCTTATATATAGTTTTATGGTGTCATTTCATTCTGATGCATTAATATTTCTGGCTGCCTGTATTTTCTTTGAATGTTTGTATGTTTCTTTGTTATCCTTGCTTAAAGTATATTGCTTTGCTGATTAAGCAGTTGATTTATTTACCCTAGACATTTGTAATACGCAAGACCACATTATTACATTTTTTACTACTGCAAAGGCAGATGAACTATACCAAGAGGTCAAAGGTCATAACAACAGGCAATGCAGAGGCAGAAGAACTTAGAAATGATGGACAACTTCTTTCTTCAACAATACATTATAGAGCCAACACGAGGAAACAATATATATTAGCCTTGGTTCTAGCCAAAGAAAGACACTAGTAAATGACACTGAAATAGGAAACATGAAATTAAACCAGGATTAGATTTGACATAAAGACAATAGATTTAAGAGAACATTGAAAACTTGTGCGATAGAAAGCTCTGCAAGAGTTCCAGAGTTTCGTAAAGCAAATTATGCGTTATGAGGAGTTACTTATGAAGGGAAGATTGAGCAGACCACAACACGAGAGTCCGGAGACGGGTGCCATGGCGGTGCACCATGTGGACTCCACTTGTAATTAATTTAAAACAATTCCAGTTAAATCCCAGGAACACAGTGTACCGTATGAATTGATTAGGTCGAATAATAATGATCTAAAATGGATGACCATTGACTGAAGAACCTTCCTTAAAATAAGAAAGCTTTATATAAGTGTATAAGAAACAGGGAAGGACATCAACAAGAACTTATCATACTATCAAGAACGGTTAAAAGATACAAGAAAAGCAACGTCTAGTATGTCACCGCCAATTTGTTCCATATATCAGTACCCCTGTTCCCGAACCCATATTTACCCAGATCCTTACTGAACCTAAACTTATCCTATTTCTATACATTGTTTCGTGTTCTACCCTGCAGTTGAAATATATAACGGTTTAATAATACCCGCTGTGTTATGACCTTTTATCCACTCCACACTTCAGTCATGTCACACCTCACTCTTCGCCTTTCTAGTGAATGTAAATTAAACTTATTTATCTTTCTTCATATGGAATGGTACTAATTCCTGGCATAAATTTTGCCATCGTCCTCTGTACCTGATCTAGTGAATTCATCTCCGTTCATTAGTATACCAACGAAAAACTGATCATACGTCCACAGAATCTCTTTGTTGAAGTAAATTTCAGTAATAGTAGTAGTAGCCATCCATCAGTCTCAGGAGACTATGGAGATGCGCTCTGGTTGTCGGTCTGGAGTGGTCTCTCCAGGGCGCAAAGCCAGGTTAGGTTGATAAGGGGGAGAAGCTGTCACCCATGCAGCAGGTCCCCCACCCCTCTGCATGTTAAAGGATCTGGTGTTGGCTATATTATTTAGGATTCGAGAGGTAAATTTCGATAAATGATGAACAAGCACTTCACGATGCCTACAGCACAGCACCGGTGAAACTATGAGCATGTGTCACTGTACAGGTTTGCCCCTTAGGCAAGTTCCTCACAATACGTGATCACTGTGAAGCATCAGTTACCCCCCCCCCCCTATCTTATAGGGTGAGTCCACTGCACTGTTGTTGTTGTTTTAGATTCAGCTACTTAGAACAAAAAGTTGCAAGCAGCACGGGCTATGGTGAACCCGTAGTGGACTTACCCGGCACAGGAGCGGGGCTGTAACAAAGACCACTGTACTGACTTTTTATTGTTAGATAACACCTGAGGTGAACAATTCACCTCAGGTCTCAACCTCATGGTTTACACGTTAATTTTGTCTAATGTAAGTTGTTAGTTCTTTTATACCATTTCGTTAAGTTTCTTTGTTTGGTAATTTTAAGTAATATTATATTTTTTAAATCTCTGACATGTATATTCATATTTTTTCACAAGTGCTTTGCTCAGTAGATTGTTGAGTACTGATAGTGAGGTGGTGTTGTCTCTTACATGTGTGATGGTGAGGTGTTGTTGTCCCTTACATGTGTGATGGTGAGGTGTTGTTGTCTCTTACATGTGTGATGGTGAGGTGGTGTTGTCTCTTACATGTGTGATGGTGAGGTGTTGTTGTCCCTTACATGTGTGATGGTGAGGTGTTGTTGTCCCTTACATGTGTGATGGTGAGGTGTTGTTGTCCCTTACATGTGTGATGGTGAGGTGTTGTTGTCCCTTACATGTGTGATGGTGAGGTGTTGTTGTCCCTTACATGTGTGATGGTGAGGTGTTGTTGTCCCTTACATGTGTGATGGTGAGGTGTTGTTGTCCCTTACATGTGTGATGGTGAGGTGTTGTTGTCCCTTACATGTGTGATGGTGAGGTGTTGTTGTCCCTTACATGTGTGATGGTGAGGTGTTGTTGTCCCTTACATGTGTGATGGTGAGGTGTTGTTGTCCCTTACATGTGTGATGGTGAGGTGTTGTTGTCCCTTACATGTGTGATGGTGAGGTGTTGTTGTCCCTTACATGTGTGATGGTGAGGTGTTGTTGTCCCTTACATGTGTGATGGTGAGGTGTTGTTGTCCCTTACATGTGTGATGGTGAGGTGTTGTTGTCCCTTACATGTGTGATGGTGAGGTGTTGTTGTCCCTTACATGTGTGATGGTGAGGTGTTGTTGTCCCTTACATGTGTGATGGTGAGGTGTTGTTGTCCCTTACATGTGTGATGGTGAGGTGTTGTTGTCCCTTACATGTGTGATGGTGAGGTGTTGTTGTCCCTTACATGTGTGATGGTGAGGTGTTGTTGTCCCTTACATGTGTGATGGTGAGGTGGTGTCTCATACATGTGTTTACAAGTGAAACAACTGAAGAAGGTATACGACTTTTCTCTCATCAGAACAAGATTTCCAAAAGGAAAATATATCTCTGAAATAGTAAAACATATATGGTGAGGTTACCATAATTCTACCAACCAAGCTACTGAGCACCCACAATAGAGGAGAACCTCAGAACACGTATCTGATATCCAACTGAGACTTTAGGCTATGCCTGGAGTGCCACTAGAGTATGGATGTATTAGGTAATCCACCCCCTAGTCATATAAGTTGCTACTCATCAGAGCCTTAATGGTCCAAGTAAATGAAATGTTAATATCCACGATACGGTGGTTAACAAATGAGATGACTGGGGCGTGGATCAACTTGCATCTACGTGCCCATGAGGCACCCCAGGGAAGGCCTAAAGTTCCAGTTAGACAGCGGATATGTATCTCTGGGGTCCTTCCCTGATTGTGGAGGTCGGTAGCTCAATGGGTAGAGAGGCCGGCTGCTGCCTTTTGTGGTCTGAAGGTCGAGGCTCCGATGGCCCACATGAATGAAATATATATTATGTGAATACCTTTGTATCAAAAAATAACTTTCTCTTTGCCATTTTGCGATAGTAGTTTAACCAGATAATATATGCTAATTAGAATTATTAAGTCAACTCGTGCCTCATTGTGACAGGATTATAGCCCTGGCGGAGTCCGGGACCTTCGTGAGGTGGTTCATGACCAATATTCCCAACGCCACAAGGTGCCTCAACCTCCCGAAGAAGTTCACTGTCCGCTCCTCTCTCTCGCTGACCAACCTCTGGGTAATACAGCAGTTACTTGACATATTTAATATTTATATATATGCACAAAGATAGAACATTCTGTTCCAGATCTGTGCATCGAGATGTGTACCTCGCGTCTTGGTTTATGTATATAGAATATTGCGTTCTGTCCTCCACTAATTTCAGGACTAAAGTATAGTTGTTAGTGTGTCTAAATTATTATGTGATCTTAATAACCCTCCTGAAGCTAATTGGCCTTAATTCCACCATGTCCCCAATCCAGCTGTATTATCCATCGTCTCAAGTCCAGTATACAATTGTAATACCCTTATCTTAGCTCTCAGCTGCACATAACTTGCCTGTATCGCCATCGTTTTCCCGCTCTTATGGCTCTAGTCTTTCAGGGAATGTATGTGGTTCTTGGGAGCGGAGTTGCTGTCAGTTTACTGGTGTTTTGGCTGGAGGTCGTCAGCGTCGGTGTTCTCCAGCTGGGAGAACACAGGCTGGGTGTCTACTAATTGTATGAAAAGTATAAACACAATATATCCTTCTATTAAGTTTATTTCAGAAACTCCTGACTATTGATTCCAGCTATATGTTCATATTATCACTGTATAATGGAGTATTATATGGACTTACAAATAAATAATATTTAGAAAATAGATTATGAACATTTTATTCTAAAAATTTCCTCACATATTTGCTATTTTTGCGAAAAAAAACTTAGTCAACTATTATTACATAATACAGAAAAAAATAATTTTGTATATGCATATTTAACTATAATGATCATCAAGGATTCAAACCCAGGCGGAGAAGGTTATCCCACTGGCTCTCTAGTATTGTAACCACTACACCAGTGTGACGATGTTAACGCCAGTGTTAACGATGTTAACGCACCTGACCCCATTTTCTGTGTTCCATTATGGAAGGCTGTGGTCTCGCTGAATCTGGTGCAGTTTCCTTCGTACTATATGAATTACTTTCCTCAGAGGTGATTGATGTGAGAAGTACATTGGACGACGGAAGGTGGTCCACCAGGAGTAGCCAACAAGGGCAGTCCTGAAGAACGCAAGACTTGTTTTAGTCGGAACAAGAAGGGCCTGGGCGTTGAAGCCAGTGAATTGTAACCAATTAACCAACGAGCTATTAGTGTTGATGCGACGACGTAACGAGGTATCCCGGAGTGGCTAAGTTGTGTTCTTAGACGGACTGAACGTCAGTCTGTCCTCTAGGTTAAGGCTTGTTAGTGGTGAAGCCTAGAGAGGAAGCTAGCCAGTGTTGCTAGAGTGACTGTTGAGACCCTGTGGGAATACTGCAGAGGACTGGCCCGTGAATTGCTGGAAAAGTTAACTCGCCGACGTGAGTACCTCAGAAGAAGGGCACACGGGGATGGAACCCTGAGTGGTCTGTATATCTTGGTGTATGTTGTAAATAGTTACCTGTACATATTATTTGAAGTACACTTATTGATGGTTTTGCCTAGCATTGTTTAACCCCCTTCCTGGTTTGGGTGTCTATTACTGCTCAGTTCCCGATAACTTCGCCCTGACTTTGGGTTGGATCGATGAAGAAAGAGGCACTATGGCCCTATAGGAACAGAGACGACAGGAACCAGAGTTACCGGCCCAGTGAGGCCGCCGTAACAACCAGCGGCTGCCAAGGTATAGGAAGTCCTGTGAGCCACACGTACACCCGGCAACTCTCTGTCCCCAGTGTTGCCGGTTATTTCAGTTATATTATATCTCCGGTTATTTCATCAAATCCTTGAAGATGTTAGGGGTTGTGCTGTGTATACATGTGTACATACTAAGCTCCAATACGTGAACTAGCCACGTATTCACTTGAGCTAGCCACCCCTAAGCAAACCTTAGTTGTGGGAGATTCCCAGATAAGGTATTTGGATAGAACGTTTTGTGCTAGAGATAGGGGGAACAGGCTAAGGGTTTGCTATACCGGAGCTGGCATTGGTGATATTATAAACAACATGAATGATATTATGGTTGGAAATGGGAACAAGCCCATTATTTGCATTAGCGTGGGAGGAAATGATGTTGGTCGAGTTAGGAGTGAGAAACTGATTCAGAGATACAAAACAACCATAGAATTAGTTAGGAGCAAGGGAGGAATCCCGATCATATGTGGCATTCTTCCAAGAAAGGGAGTGGGAAATGAATGGATATCAAGGGCACTTGGTGTCAAATGCCGGCTGGAAAGATATTGCAAATCAAATGCAATATCCTTCATAGACAACTGGGAACACTTCTATGGAAGAAATGAAATGTATGCTCGTGATGGGGTGCATCTATCGAGAGCTGGGGTTGTTGCTGTTGCGAACTCGTTGGAAGAAGTGGTTAGAGGTGTTTGTTTGGGTTTAAACTGTTAGTAGATAGAGGTATGGGAATTGATTTGGAGGAAGGAGGTAATAAAAGTATGTGTTTGTGGGAGAAAGGAATTGGCAAAATGATCAGGGAAAGAGAAGGGCCTCAAAATAACAATTCACTTAGGGTATATTACACTAACAGTAGAATTCTAAGAAATAAAATTAACGAATTAAATGCTCTTGTCTGCACAGAAAAAATAGATATTATTGCACTTACCGAAACGTGGATGAATGTAGAAAATAGAGAACTATTAGCTGAATATCAAATAAATGGATTTAAACTATTTCACACAGATAGATATATTAGACGACGAGGTGGAGTAGCCGTATATGTTAGGGACAATTTGAAATGTAGTCTCAAAGAGGGAATCAAAACTGAGCCACACACAGAAACTATTTGGATAGAATTTAACGAAAAAGCTAATAATATTATAATAGGAGTTATATATAGGCCACCAAATTTAGACAGAATGGAAGCAAAGCACCTATGGGATGAAATATCTAGAGCATCTAGATCTAACAGTATTTATGTCATGGGTGACTTTAATTTTAGTGGAATAAACTGGTTGAACAAAACAGGGAATAGTGAAGCAGAAGATTTTCTAGAATTAATTGACGATTGCTTTCTTACGCAACACATTAAGGAACCAACACGGGAAAATAATATTTTAGATTTAGTGTTAACTAACATGGAATCATAAATTAATGACATCGAAATAGGGAGTGAGCTAGGGAACAGTGATCACAAAGAAATCAGATTTAGCATAGAATGGAATAGACCTGTAGGAGAAAATTCTGTTAAAGTGCCAGATTTTCGAAAAGCTGATTTTAACAGCCTAAGAAATTTAGGGTTGGGACGAAATTGGAAAGAAATTTTGGTAGGGACGCGAGTCTTATTTTCCTCGGCGTCACCCCTTTTATATGAAAGGAACCGTCGGAAATGCATCCGAGGTGCCGTGTGGTTTGTCGCCTCCTCGTTGGTGGAGAGAGGCGACGCCACAGTGTCGAGAGGCGACGCCACATTGTCGAGAGGCGACGCCACAGTGTCGAGAGGCGACGCCACAGAGTCGAGAGGCGACGCCACAGCATTATTTTACTAGTTAACCGTCCGTCCATTTTAAAGCTTGTCAAGATTGTCTTATACCAAAGTTGAGTCTGAACTTCTGGTGACTATATCTGCTAGATGGTGAGGGTGACCATACTGCAGGATGGGGAGGATGACCATACTGCAGGATGGGGAGGGTAACCATACTGCTAGATGGTGAAGGTGACCATATTGCTGGATGGGGAGGGTGACCATACTGCAGGATGGGGAGGATAACCATACTGCTAGATGGTGAGGGTGACCATATTGCTGGATGGGGAGGGTGACCATAGTGCAGGATGGGGAGGATAACCATACTGCAGGATGGGGAGGATAACCATACTGCTAGATGGTGAGGGTGACCATACTGCAGGATGGGGAGGGTGACCATACTGCAGGATGGTGAGGGTGACCATACTGCAGGATGGGGAGGGTGACCATACTGCAGGATGGGGAGGGTGACCCACCTGGTGACCATACTGCAGGATGGGGAGGGTGACCCACCTGGTGACCATACTGCAGGATGGGGAGGGTGACCCACCTGGTGACCATACTGCAGAATGGGGAGGGTGACCACCTGGTGACCATCTTGAGATTATCTTGAGATGATTTTGGGGCTTAAGTGTCCCCGCGGCCCGGTCCTCGACCAGCCCTCCACCCCCAGGAAGCAGCCCCTGAGAGCTGACTAACTCCCAGGTACCTATTTACTGCTAGGTAACAGGGGCATTCAGGGTGAAAGAAACTTTTGCCCATTTGTTTCTGCCTCGTGCGGGAATCGAACCCGCGCCACAGAATTACGAGTCCTGCGCGCTATCCACCAGGCTACGAGGCCCTCATACTGCAGGATGGGGGAGGGTGACCCACCTGGTGACCATACTGCTGGATGGGGAGAGTGACCATACTGCAGGATGGGGAGGGTGACCATACTGCAGGATGGGGAGGGTGACCATACTGCAGGATGGGGAGGGTGACCCATGGTGACCATACTGCAGGATGGGGAGGGTGACCATACTGCAGGATGGGGAGGGTGACCATACTGCAGGATGGGGAGGGTGACCCACCTGGTGACCATACTGCAGGATGGGGAGGGTGACCATACTGCTGGATGGGGAGGGTAACCATACTGCAGGATGGGGAGGGTGACCATTCTGCAGGATGGGGAGGGTGACCCACCTGGTGACCATACTGCTGGATGGGGAGGGTGACCATACTGTAGGATGGGGAGGGTGACCATACTGCTGGATGGGGAGGGTGACCATACTGCAGTATGGGGAGGGTGACCATACTGCTGGATGGGGAGGGTGACCATACTGTAGGATGGGGAGGGTGACCATACTGCAGGATGGGGAGGGTGACCATACTGTGGGATGGGGAGGGTGACCATACTGCAGGATGGGGAGGGTGACCATACTGCTGGATGGGGAGGGTGACCATACTGTAGGATGGGGAGGGTGACCATACTGTAGGATGGGGAGGGTGCCCATACTGCAGGATGGGGAGGGTGACTCACCTGGTGACCATACTGCAGGATGGGGAGGGTGACCCACCTGGTGACCATACTGCAGGATGGGGAGGGTGACCCACCTGGTGACCATACTGCAGGATGGGGAGGGTGACCATACTGCAGGATGGGGAGGGTGACCCACCTGGTGACCATACTGCTGGATGGGGAGGGTGACCATACTGTAGGATGGGGAGGGTGACCATACTGCAGGATGGGGAGGGTGACCATACTGCTGGATGGGGAGGGTGACCTTTCTGTAGGATGGGGAGGGTGACCATACTGCAGGATGGGGAGGGTGACCCACCTGGCGACCATACTGCTGGATGGGGAGGGTGACCCACCTGGTGACCATACTGCAGGATGGGGAGGGTGACCCACCTGGTGACCATACTGCAGGATGGGGAGGGTGACCATACTGCAGGATGGGGAGGGTGACCATACTGCTGGATGGGGAGGGTGACCATACTGTAGGATGGGGAAGGTGACCATACTGTAGGATGGGGAAGGTGACCATACTGTAGGATGAGGAGGATGACCCACCTGGTGACCATACTGCAAGATGGGGAGGGTGACCATACTGCAGGATGGGGAGGGTGACCATACTGCTGGATGGGGAGGGTGACCCACCTGGTGACCATACTGCTGGATGGGGAGGGTGACCATACTGCTGGATGGGGAGGGTGACCATACTACT